TGCTCATCTCCCTATCATCCCCTTCATCTAATAGGCTTACATATGAATATTACTGGCTATTGTAAAATTTTTTAAATGGATTTGTGATTTGATCTATTCCAGAGTTCTTTTTCCAGGCACTCATAATCCATCTAATAGTTAAGTACAGATCTGGGCTTGGCCCTGTGGTGTTTACTGTACTTACCAATGAACTGGCTACTTAGCCATACAAGAAAGGAATATTAAGGAACAGGAAAAAAAAATATTTATCCAAGGATACACTGATTCAGTTAAGCACAGCTTCCCTGCATCTATGTTATCCATGGTGATTCACTAGCAAAGCCTTTGGCACAGGCTGAAGCTCAATGTATCTTTTCCAATTGACGTAGAAACTACATCAAAACTCTGAGCTAAACTAAGTCTCTAAGACAGGTTTCTGTTTTTGTTTTTAAGAAGTGGCCCATACCCTACAGCAACAGACTCTGGTAGATATAGTCCTACTACCACATGCCACTCCTTAGCTGCAAATCTTCAACCACTTAAATGACTTTGTGTCTCTTAATGGATAGGCCCAATTTGTAAGAAGCTGGACACAGGCCACTCAAATCTCTGTATTTAGACTTGAGTAAATTTGGGATGAGTTTGTCTAGAGCCAAGGTCAAAGTTCTCTTGAATGATCACCCTAGAAGTAGTACCTCAGAGGGACTGCAGGTCACATGCCACATTGTAGTGACCTGGAAAGGAGGTGGGGGGACAAGTACAAAGAGGGCTGCCGGATATTGGCAGCCAGGCTGCTATTATATGAAAGAATACTAACGCCCGGATCCATAGGAAACTTCATGGGGCAAGCTATTGAAGAAAGAAGCAATCTTGTTCAGACAGAAGTCCGGGGTGATCATAGTTTGTGGCAGCTAATCAGAAGAAATTATGTATGTCCACCCCAGGGGTGATAAAATCAAATGACCATTTCATTTCTGCAGCCAAAAGCTTCCTGAAGCTGCCACTTACAATATCACTTTAAAAAAGCTGTTGTTGTTAAGTCGTTTCAATCATATCCAACTCTTCGTGACCTCATTTGGGTTTTCTTGGAAATGATACTGGAATGGTTTTCCATTTCCTTCTCCAGCTCTTTTACAGATGATGCAACTAAGGCAAACAGGGTTAAATGACTCACCCAGGGGCACACACTAGCAGGTGTCCAAGGTCACATTTTAATTCAGGTCTTCCAGACTCCAGACCCAGCAGTCTATTTACTGTGTCACCTAGCCTCCCAAAATGCAATTAGTCTCCCACTATTGGACCCTAGTTGTTACTAAGCAGATTGGTGATAAAAGATGAGCTCTCATTAAGAGGTAAATAGATAGAGCTCCTCTAGCAGCCTTTCAATCAGACTGACAGGGAAAGAAAGAAAGTGAGGTATTAAAGTGAGTAGATAACATAAAGGCCTAAGATTGTTAAATGGAAAATGGAAATTTTGCATTCAAGATTGAGCCTGACCTTTCTTCTAATTTTATTTATAATAAGACTGGCAAGATTAATATGATTTAGCTCTTCTAGTACTATGACAACTTATTGGTCTTTGGATGCTCACATTTTGAGCATGAAAAGTCAAATTAAAGTTTGTTGATGGATTAAAAATTGGTTTTTAGCACCCTCTGTCACTTTTCCCACTACTCTGCCACTGTCACAGAAGAAGTTGAAAGGTATGAAGCCATTTAAATTTTTTTCCTTTGTTTTACTGGTTGCCCACAGTGAAAATAAAAATATTAATTACTATCCCACTTGTGATATACTTTTCTATGATTGGTTAAGTTAGTCATTGGAAAACAGCTGTTCTGTTTCTGGGGTCAAACATGAAGCCTTTCAAGCATGGTAAAAGCTGTCAGAACTTACACTTCATTGTCAAGAGCCTTCAAAAATCCAGGGTTATTCCTCGAATGACAGTAAATACTGTAACTCTATCTTAAAGATAACAGTAAGAGAATCAGTTGTCCCTGTGAGAGGAGCTACCAAAACTGGTGTTATGTTAGCAGTAAGTAAAATGCAACAGATGGCTTAGGGTTTTAGCTGGCCAATAGGTTTAACCTATTTTAATAGCTTAGAAATTAAAGTTATTGTTTTAGGCAACGACAAAAACTTCCTGAGCTCCTCTAGCAGCCTTTCAATGAGACTGACAGGGAAAGAAAGGAAGTGAGGTATTAAAGCAAGTACATAACACAAAAGAACATTCAGTTCCTTTATGTAGACAGGAAGAGGAAGAGTATGTCTCTACCCTCTCTCCCCAGCTATGCTTAATCATCAGTGGAGATACCACTCAGTGTAGTCAGATCCATCATTCTGGTTTAAAAATCATTACTTTATTAACACTGATAAGACCTTTCCACAGTTCCTAATGTTCTTTTCTGGTGTCTGACGTGCTTGTGATAGCTGGCATTCTCTTCATAAATCCTCTTGATTCTAAGGCCAGGGCCAAAGGGTACCCTAGGAATCAAGCTGACCTTCTCTTGTAGTCCATGGGGGGCTTGGGTTTAAATCATGGGAGAACCAAGAGAATGAGAACCACAATGTGTTAGCAAAAAAGAACTTTTATTGAATGAGGATAAACTTACATTTCCAGCCAGCAGCACAGACACAGTATAGACCCTGCAAGCAGTATAGACAGCTTGTAGGGGAAATCCCTTTTATACAGGACCAGCAACCTGAACAGTCACATCTTCCCCCAAAAGACTTTTTTAAAAAATCAAAGAGTAAGAAGCTGCAGACATACTTTCAGCGATAAGACTAACCCCAAACCTGCTCCTTCTTCTAACTTCCCTATTTCTTTTGATGAGACCACCAGTTACCAAAGCTTGAATCCTCAGATTCATCTATAGAACATTGGTTAGGAATGAACAAGAATTACATAAGATGAGAAAATGAAGGAACATTACAAACTGTATCAAAGGAGAAAATATTCACAAATCTTTCCAATTCTCAAAGAAAATAATGTTCCTTTGCAAACTAATTTTCGGTCTTCTTATTTAAAGTAACTTGCTTGTAGATTTACATGAACTGATACAAAGTGAAGTGAGCAGAACCAGCAGAACTGTACACAGTAACAGCAATATTGTGCAGTAATCAACTGTGAATGACTTAGCTGTTCTAGCAATACAAAGATCAAAAACAATTCTGAAGGATTTATGATGAAAAATACTATCCACCTCCAGAGAAAGAAAGATGGTGTCTGAATGCAGATCAAAGCATATTATTTTTTACTTTTTTGTGTGGGGGTTTTTTTGAGGGGATCTGTATTTTCTTTCACAACATGATTAATATGGAAACATATTTTGCATGGCTGCACATGTATAAATTATATCAAATTGCTTGCCTTCTCAATGAGGGGGGAAAGGAGAAATGGAGAGAATCTGGAACTCAAAAAACTTTTTAAATGAATGTTAAAAACCGTTTCAACATGTAATTGGAAAAAATAATTTTTTTTAAAAAAATTACTTGCTTATGTGTTTCAGCTACTCAATCTCATTTGTATTGAAATCATTTCCACTAAGACATGTGGGTAAAGAGGAATGTTCACACTTTTAGGTCACTACATTACTAGTTAATGGTTTTAATGGCAACTTTAAACATAAACGGAATAGGAACTTTATTTCATAGATAGGCATGTTTCATATGCTTATTTATACTTTCCCTATTCTCTTTCTCTTCCTAATGATGGAGTCAGTAGTCTAGAGTTCAAGGCAGGAATAAGACCATGTTATTTATTTCCTCTCTGGTCCACTGATTATCCTCTCTCTCTCTCTATAGCAATACAGCTTAGAACTCAAAATGAGGTCTAAAATTCCTGGAACCCCACTTCTCTCCACCCCTGTCAGTGGAAGGGGTAGTATTTCCTCTTCTGTATTACCATGGCTTAATAAAACGTTGAATGAATAATTCTATTGCCTCCATCTTTTTTTAAACTTACTTTATAATTTCTCAAAGATCAAGGATTGCACCTATCTATACCAGCAAAAAACCCTCAAATTTCATGTGTTTATTTTTGTTATGTGCAGCACTATTTTTGTTATATTGCAGCACTGCACTATAACTGAAATTATTATTTTTCTTTGGAGATTTCAATCCCAGCCTATCACATAAAGGACTGTTATATATTATATACTTTAGAGAACTATAAGCAGTACAGTGAAGCTCTCTACTCTGAAGTTTTCCACCACTGACCTATATAACTCTACCTTTCTTGTCAGTTTCTTTGCGTCTAGCCTTCCATCAAATGTGAAAAGTGAAAATAATAAATAGTGAAAAGAATCATCTTTTTCAAAAGTTACTTTTTTTTATAACTTTCCCCTTTATTTACTAATTTCTTTTAGTTTTGTGGCCATATTTAGTCTGGCCAAAGATGGAAGAACTGTATTTAACTCCCAGATGTCAAAGGAGTACAGTGTTTGTCTAGAGGTGACAGCATACATCTGAAAAGGGCACAGGTACTTTGCATTCTTAATGCCCTCCATCGTGAGTACATACTTGGATGAAATTAATACCAGCTTTTGGCCTCAACAAACCTGAAGAGTACGGCATAGGATATTCAAGTTAGGACCATGGTGGCAAAATCAGTTCTTCAGGATATCAGGAATCATTTATTTAATATGATTACATTGCGCATAGTAGCGAAGCCCTAAATGAATTCACATAAATTTTTAATTTCTCAACAATTCTGAACTCAAATATAATAATATAGAGCTATTATTAGGTTGGTTTTTTATTTGTTTTTTGGGCTTTTTGCAAGGCAATTGGGATTAAGTGACTTGTGTAGGGTCACACAGCTAGTTAAATGTCAAGTGTCTGGTCTGAGACTGGATTTGAACTCAGGTCCTTCTGACTCCAGGGCTGGTGCTCTATTCACTGTACCACCTAGCTGCCCCTGTTATTAGGTTGTTAAGCACTGTTTCAAAAGCAGGTTGACTTGGAAAATGTGATAGGATCTATGACAAGATATATAAGTACAGATATTAAAGTGGTCATGTTACCTCAAGAGCAAACATCCTGTCCATCATGCTTCTTGATGAAGTGGCATCAGCTACAATGTGAACTTCGACACCTCGGCCAACCAATTCCAGAGCTGTTTGCTGAATGCACACATGAGTCTAATAGAAAAGTGTTGACATTATAACAACAATAAAACACAACATAAGTCGTTTTGATACCCCTCAATTCTTAAAAATAATAAAAAACTGAAGATAAATAGGCTTAATAAGCACAAACTAGCACTTCTATTTGTCAAGATCACATTTTAAAAGATAAATACAAATCAATACAATAACATTTCATAAGAAAAATACCTACTTCTACTCCAAATAAGACAACACTACGGACTCCAGGAATTTCTGCTAATGCTGCTTCTACTTCTGGTATTACCATGGAAAATTTAGTCTTCGGAAGCACCAGTTTAACACCTGTTAAATCAATTTCTTGTACAGTACTGCCAAGACCTTTGGGGTACTGCTCTGTTACAATAACCGGAATTCCTAAAATCCGTGCCCCCTGCAACTGCAAATAAAAAAAAGAATAATTTTTTTTTCAAAAAGATATACTATGCCTCAAATAAACAGAATAGAAATTTAATACATTACACAAATTATTTTTTTAAACCTACCAATCTTTGTCCTACACTAATGATATCACCAAAATACTTGATGGCTGGTCTGAATCTTTCTTGCATATCACAGCAAAAAAATACAGTGCTTGAAGGTGTAAGATTTCCCAGTGTGGTGAGCTAGAAAAAGAAAAGAGGGGAGAAATTAGCAGTTCATTTTCAATTTTTAATTCCGGAATATATTTATTAACAAATTTTTAATGTTTAAAACTTAAAGCAGGTAATGAGATGCCTTAAAAATGAAACACAAAAACTGGATACTGGCAATTTGAAATGAACTGTGACACAGCAAGAAGTGTTTAGAAAAGTCAGAGAAAATCAGAAAAATGATGCTTAGCTAATGAAAACACAATGTAAAATTATAAAAACCAGAAACTTTTTAATATTGAAATTTGTGCCCTAAGTGACTCCATTGTTTTCAGTCTGGCTTGTCTTCTGGTGTGTACCTGCTTGCTGGTCAGCACCTAGCATTAATAAGTCTTTTTTGAGAGGAGTCAGGCAGTCTGCAGGCATGAACTTTGATCCCATTCCCTACCAGAGAATCAGCATATAGCAATATGGGCTTTCATCCCATCCCCCTTACCTCTAGTCTCATTTCCCTTATGATGTGGCAATGCAGGAGAAGCTGAAGCCCAATGGTCCATCATCTTTTGGAAATATGCATCTTCCTGGATAGTAAACACTAGCCCATCTCCTTTTAAAAAACCTGTACCTATCAGGATTTATCTTGCCTGTATTAGAAAAGCTGTCTTTAAAAAGCAGCTGGCAGTTTGTGGCCATTCTACCAAGGTGTTTTCCAATAAACTCCTTTTAATTGTCTCTATGCAAGTTTTCCTACTTCAATCAGGGCAAGCAAAGATTTTAACATTAAAAAATACAACTTTTAGGAAGACAGCAAAAATGGGAGAAATAAAGGTTTTTAATGAATGGTGCTTCACTTTTAAAAGCAACATCTAACCACTTGCTAAATGACCTGCAACATACCATGAAAACAAAAGTCTAAAGCAATATCTCTGTTCTCAGATATGTACTAGGACAACGTGGAAATCAAATGAATTAAGTTTTTTTGTTTTTGGGGGGTTTTTTGGCTGGTCAATGGGGTTAAGTGACTTGGCCAGGCTCATATAGCTAGTAAATGTCAAGAGTCTGAGGCTGCATTTGAACTCAGGTCCTCCAGACTCCAGGGTAGGCGCTCTATTCACTGTACCACCTAGCTGCCCTGAATTAAGATTTTTTTTTAAAAATTACACTGCCTCATTTGATATTGCCACATTTAATAACAGATTCCACTACAGGAATCTACAAGAAGAGTTCGTGTCAATTGAGCCTTTAAGGAGGGTGTGTTCTTGTTTATTTGTTTTCAGTCACATCAGACTCTTGGCAACCCCATTTGGGGTTTTCTTGGCAAAGACACTAGCTCATTTTACATATGAGGAAACTGAGGCAAACAGGGTTAAATGACTTGCCCAGGGTGACATAGCTAGTAAGTGCCTGAGGCCGAATTTGAACTCAGGTTTTCCTGACTCCAGGCCTGACACTGTGCCACCTAGCTGCTCAGAGAAGGAGCCTCTGCTAATTGCCAAGTTTTTGTATTGCAGGGATATCTCAAGGATTAGGATTGGGTGGTGAATATAACCTTTACAATTACCTTGAATAACAATACGCATTAATTTTCATTGAAGTTTATAAAGTACTTTCTTCATAATGTCTCTATGAAATAAGTCAATAACCCCTCAGACATATATTCTATGAATCTCTCTTAAGTATCCTGTTTCCCCACAAAAATTTTTTCAACTTTATTCTCTAATTAGAATGTAACATGGAATTTGTTTGTCCTGTTTGTGGTAATGACGTTATTTATTAAAAACCTCAAGGGTAAGGGCAATGCCATAGTAATCTTTATTTTTGTATGTACTTGGCACCCAATAGTCATACGATACATGAATGAATGAGATCCTAGATTTAATAAACCAAAGAAAATTAGATTAAATTTAATGGTTGCAAATGTAAAAGGCCACACTTGTATTTTTTTTTAAATCAAGAACAGTATGGGGAGAGGGGAAGATAGAGCAAGGCTAGACAATAACTCATGCAAAAGGCAACAGGAGTAACTGTGGGGAAATGGAGGCATGTTAGAAAATAAAGAAACTTCAAACATCTACAAATGCCTCAGTCAAGTTCTAAAAACACAATGGAAAGGGCAATTAGATAAAGAAAAGCAAGGGGAAATTCCTGTAAGCTTCTGTATGCACTCTAAAATTGCACAAAAAGACTGCCAGAATCTTGCAGAACCTCTAAAGACAAGCTGGGGTACTCCGAATACAAAGGCTGAAAGCAATGTGGACTTATGGCAGGGTCTGAACAGGAACCCAGGCAGCCTGCCTGAGGTACTGCAGAAGACAAGGCCAGGGCAGAACCTAGGAAGCCAAACTCTTGAGATTTTGCAGTCAAAAACAACAGAGAAGAGGTCAACCAAAATACTGAGGTCAAACTCAAGAAGTCCTAGATGTGACGGGGCCTATTAACACTCATCTAGGACCAAACAGACACCTGTCCACTGCACCCAAGAGTTTAGGTGGGAATTAATACTGACCTTTCAAACACTGTCTGGAAAATGAGATGGAGGGGGCAGCTAGGTGGTGTGGTGCAGTGGATAGAGCACTGACTCTGGAGTCAGGAGGACCTGAGTTGAAATCCAGCCTCAGACACATAACACTTATTAGCTGTGTGACCCTGGGCAAGTCACTTAACCCTACTGTCTAACCAAAAAAGAAAAAACAAAGCTTGAAAATGAGATGGAAGATACGAATAATAAGGAGAAAATGCCAAACACAATGAAAAAGAACCATAGACTGAGAGAAGTCCAAGAGGTAAGAAGGAAAGAAGAAAGTAACCTCATTAGTCCTAGCTCTCAGGGAAACGAAGGTGCTTCCAAAAAGGACTACAATAGTACCAGGAAGAAATGAAAGAAAAGATACAAAACGGAAAAATATACAGGGAGGAAAAAGGACAAGAAGAACTGATAATACCTTAGCAGAGACAGTGGTAAACCTTATTTAAGAACTGAACTTAACTGAAAATTAAAATGGGATAAACAGAGACATTGGTCACTTACCCAAACAAGAGAATTGTACAAACACGGACATTTCTGATTGTCCCCAAGACAATAAGAAACATTAAAACTTTAACTCCCTTGGCATCTGCGTGCCTAATTTTCCCTACTTCAGCACCATGCTTCTGCTGCAGTGTCATTTGGAACCTCCCTCTCTGCCTGGAGCTTCCTAACCCAGGCATATCCATCCACCAATGACAGCGTCCTCCTCCCAGGGCCTCTGTTTTAGAGAGAGGCTCAGGCCAGGACACCTTTATTCCCTTTCTGGCTGTGCTATTAATTTTCAACACCATGCCCCTACATGAGGACTTTAATTTCTTCACACCTGCTGTTTTCAAGTCCTTTCTGTGTGTTGTATTCCCCCATTAGAATGTAAGCTCCTTAAGGGCAGGGACTGCCTTTCTTTTCATTTTTTTTAATCACTGGCATTTAGCACAGAGCCTGGCATATAGTAAGCACTTAATACTTAATTGCCTGTTGCCAAAAAGAAGAAGACAGAGAGAGAGAAAGAGAGAGAAAGACTGAGACTATATTGGATTCTTTTCTCTTTACCTCTTGAACTTCTCTTAGTCTAAAGAAAGTAAAAAATATAAAGAATTCACCAAATCATTTAATGAAAGAAATTTCAAAATAAAATTCCTAGGAATATTATAGCCAAAATCCAGAGTGTTAAAAAAACTGCAGGTGGCCCAAAACAAAAAGATCAAGTACCAAGGAACCACAGTAAGTATCACCCAGGACGTGGCAGCTGCCACTGTAAAGAAGAGAGTTTGGAATATCATATTCCAAAAGGCAAGAACACACAAACCAACAAATAAATAAATAAAGGCTTGTAACCAAGAATAACCTATTCAGCAAAACTGAGTGTGTGCAGGGAGTTTACAGGGAAAAAAAGAAATAAAATAAAAGATTTCCAAGCATCCCTGATGAAAAGGTCAAAATGGAGCAGAAACTTGAAAATGCAAATACAGGAGTCAAGAGAATTTATGGGACAACACAATGATGCAGTGTTTATGTTCTAAAGGGAGAGAAGAAACAAGATTCTCTTCAGATACTTCAGGTCATAAAGTTACGTCAAATAACAGAAGGTCCGTGGTTTTGTTCACTTTTGATGGTCTCAGGAGAAGAAGGAAAAGATGGAGAAAGGGGAAAACACTGAAGAAGAACATAGGAGGAATCAAATGGAATACTGCTATCACCTGTTCTAGGGGTTCATGGGATAAAGAGTATACAAGCATGGAGGAAGGTGTGGGAAAACCAGGTATTCCATGATGAGCCTCACTTCCATCTGAAGCAGAAAAAGGAAGGCTAACACACACACACACACACATTCAGGGAACTGTCATAAGCAAAACAAAATCTCATGTCATATAGTAAAGTGTGAAAGGGGGATAAAAGGAAAGAAAGTGTGAAAACCTGAGGTGGGAGAACGGCAAGGGGAAAAGAAAAGAGGAAATAAGGCAAAACAAGCAGCTTCAATTGGAAATCGCTAATGTTAAACTATTCTCTTTCAATACCTTTTTGTAGAAAGGGGAGTAGGGGTCAGGGTGGAGGCAAAGAGGAAAAAGTACAAGAGGACTTGATGGAGAAAAATACCCGATTAACAATCATTATGTGAATGTGAATGAGATGAACTCATCATAAAATGGAAAAGAACAGGAAGTGGATTAGAAGGCAGAATCCAAAAATATGTTATATACAGGAAACATACTTGGAACATAAAGGTTCACATAGAATTTAAAAAGGAACTGGAGTAAAATCAATTATGTTTAAGGTTAACTCAAAAAACCTCAGGTAGCAATCATGATTTCAGACAAAGCAAAGAAAAAAAAGAACAGATAAAGAGATAGGCAAAGAAACTATGTTAAAGGCACAACAGAAAAGAATATCAATACTTAATAAATATCTATACCAAATCTCATGGCATCTAAATACTTAAAGGAAAAATTAATCAAAAGTTAATCAAATTACAGGTAGAAATAGTAAACTATGATAGTGGAGAAACTCA